AACGTTGTAATTAAGAAGAGACACCTGAATTTAAGGCCACACAGGTGAGGTTAGTCCTTCCCTTCTCTAAAGATTTCGTCTGGGATTTACGATGAAAGCTGAGATAATTAAAAGTCTCCTGTGTTGTAATTCTGAGATGATCTTGGTGTGTGTGTGTGTGTGTGTGTGTGTGTGTGTGTGTGTGCGTTTAATTTTTGGGTTATCATTAATCGTTCACAGGTACACAGTTGTAGACGTAGATAATATTCATGTGTGTTGTACCATCAATACGTTACCACGGTACAACACACACACACACACACACACACACACACACACACACACACCACCATATCTGTTCTGTGTCGCTGCTTGATCACCTGTGTGCCGAGTTTTACATATATATAGGAAATGTTCAACTCAGCAATTTGCAAAAAAAAAAAAAAAATATATGAATTTGTAATTTTTGGGGTAACTATTTGTGGCCGGAAACACACGAGTATTGCTGTGTAAAAAATCAGTTGTGTTTGTGTTTTGTGATCCTTCAATATTGTGTGTGTGTGTGTGTGTGTGTGTGTGTGTGTGTGTGTGTGTGTGTGTGTGTGTGTGTGTGTGTGTGTGTTTTCGTCATGGGGGGTGTAATCACAGTTTTCGTCATGGGGGGTTCAATACAACACAATACAATCACTATTTAATATTACCACAGATAGCCTTCATAAATGGTCAGGTGGACAGTGGTTGGTGGCTGTGTGGTGGTGGAGGTCCAGGGTTCGTTGATGAGGGTAATGTTTGGTCCCATACTCTTCAGGAGACAGCGTGACCAGCAGTACACTCGACCTCCATCATATCCCAAGCTGTAAAGTTAGGTACTCATAAACTGCTATAGTGAAGTGGGGAGGGGAGTGCTCTAGGACTGAACCAACACACACACACACACACACACACACACACACACAGAAAGAAGGTGAATGATGACTTAGTTCGACGATATTAATTAACTTAACATAATATTTGGACAGTTCAACACCACCTGAACACACACGACGACTGATGACTGGCAAATACCTGTCTGATCAGCAGTAATTATCGTTGTTATCATTAGTAAATTTGCATAATGAAAAAAACACGCGGGTTTTCACTGATGTTTTTGTGATTTTTAAAGCGGAGCGAATAAGATTAATAACGAGGTAATAGCCACACACACACACACACACACACACGCACACACACACACACACACACACAGCAGGTAACTAACTGTCATCAGTGTGTTGACAGAACAGGTATACAAGCTGGTAGTCTATTGAGGCAGGTGAACCCAGGTGTGTGACGCTGGTCAGAGTAATGTTCACTAGCCCAGGTGATCCAATTAGGGTTAATGATGATCCCTCCCGCCTCTGCCTTACCTGTCTCTCCGCCCCGGCACTCTCTGGCATCGTGAATCATCAAAGTGGCACCTTGGTTAATGCTCTGGTGGCCCTGCTTGGTCGTGGGGTTAAGACGTGGTTAAGAGGTTAAGTCGTACTCAAGGGTGTAAACTATCCTCCGCAAGGGTTAGCTCGTACTCAAGGTGGTTTAACCATTATGATAAAGGGGTTAAATCCTCGTGTTAAAAGGGTTAATAAACTTAATAATATCTAGAGATCGACAAATGTGCGTGTACCCCTGGCCGGTGAGAGAGAGAGATCCGAACCAGTGTTTACAATCCACCATATGACGACCCTCCCGGCCACTAAGCCACACATTATTGGATCAGCTGACTTAGGTAAACAAACTGTGCCGGGTAAAACGTCTTTAACTCATCTGAAGATAAAAGGCACTTCAGTTTATTTCACCCTAACTCTAACCTAACCTAACCTAACTCTAACCTAATTTAACCTAACCCTAATCTAACCTAAACTAACCTAACTTACTTTAACGTAACCTAACCTATTTTAACCTAACATGATCCCTTCTGTCTATCTGTTTGTCTCAATCTTTTCCTCCCGTCTTTCTGGGTGTTAGTCTGTCCATCCCTGGCAGTGAAGAAACAACAAATCTCTGAAATAAAATCAACTTTTGCTTCGTTCAAACAAAAAAAGAAGAATTTGTTTATTTATTTATATAGTTTTTGTCGCATCGAGGGGAAGGAAAAAAAGAAGGGAAAAAGGAGAAGTTTATATAAACGTGCCACAGTGAATAGTCCGGGCAGAAAATAGAGAAGGGAAAAAAGTATAAATCCAGCTTGGGGAGGACCAGGTGGGGGAAAACTTGTGTTATGTCTCTGTTGCTGGGGAGAAAATAAACTGATTTTTTCCCTATTTTTATTTATGTAAGGAATTTTTGGTGGGGAATTTTAAGGAATATTGTTGATTATTGTAATATTCACGTAACACTACTACTGATGCTACTCTAGTCATGCCTTACTACTACTACTACTACTACTACTACCACCACAGTCATGCACTACTATTACTACTACTACTGATGCTACTACAGTCATACATTACTACTATTGCTTCTATTACAGCCATGCATTATTACTATTACTGCTACTGTCATGCACTACTACTTTACTACCACAACAGTCATGCACCACAACAGTCAGGCATGGACGTGGTAGGACTGGGTCTCTCACTCTGCCAGCTGGAGTTTAGTAAATCCTCAAGTATTGTTGTTGCTTTGAGCGTTTTGGGGTGGTGTGTGTGAGAGAGAGAGAGAGAGAAGTGTGTCATGTGTGTGTGTGTGTGTGTGAGAGAGAGAGAGAGAGAAGTGTGTCATGTGTGTGTGTGTGTGTGTGTGAGAGAGAGAGAGAAGTGTGTCATGTGTGTGTGTGTGTGTGAATTCCTTAATGAAGGTGAGTGTTTGTGTTTGTGTGCTTGCATATATGTATGTGCTTGTATAAATATTTGTATATGTGCATATTTTTGCATGTAAATCTGTTTTATGTATGTATGTGGGAACTGTCAATAAGGCGTTTGTTATTGGTCATCAGCTGACGACGCCGCGTACCAGGCTTAAGCGTCATCATCAGCTGATTTAAGTTCCTCCACCACCAGCGTCCCCTACTCATACCCACCCACGGCAACCTATATCCACCCAAGCCTCCCTACACCCACCCACGCCCAAACACGCCCACTCACGCTCACCCTACACCCATCCACACCTCACCCATCTTCCACTAGCGGCCAGTGAGTGAGAGGGTGGCGTGATTGGCTGGTTATATCGAGTCATTTACAGGAATATCTAACTAATGCATACAGATAACTCATTATATACCTCCTTACTGGCCAGCTCACTCAAGGGGCTCACTTATCACTGTTTTGACGCGACACAACAAATTAGTTCACTCCCCTTCTTAACTAATTCTCTAACTCTGAGTCTCTGTGTTTGTGTTCTTATTTTTGTTTGTTTGATCATAGGAAATGAGTTGTAAATTTTGAACCTTCCTTATGAATGGAAGTCGAAACATTTGAAGCTCTAGTTTATTTTGAGTTCGAAGCCTTAAATGTTGATGAACACACACACACACACACACACACACACACACACACACACACAGTAAAAAAAACAAAAAAACATAATCGTGTCGTCTATTATATGACTCTTTAAACTCCTGACAGAACCCTTATGTCGTCACTATTGCCCTGAGACTATACTAAAGAACGGGTCATTTTTCCCCACCCAAGATATATGAGAGGAATAGATTTAACGGGAATAAACATCTGGGATACAAATCTTGGTCTTCCTCCTACCTCCCTCCCTCTGCTTCCTCCCCACCTACCTCCCAACTTCCTTCTTCTTTCCTTCTCCTCTTTTACCTCTATCCTCCCCTCCTCCCGCCTCTTCCTCCGCCATCTGGGCCCCCCTGAGCCCCCCCCCCCTCAAGCAATAGAAAACCTCTTGAGAAGCAATAGTAAATATGCAGCTGGCCGCCTGAACGGGGAGGATAACCGGGAGTGTTGGTAAAAGAGGCGGAGGAGGCGAGTTGAGCCTCCTCCAATATCCCTCCTCAACAGGGGAATTGAAACCTTTTGAGGGGTAGATATCACAGAGATCCCGGTGGTGCTGGGGGATTGGGGGGCAGGTGTGTGTGTGCGGTCCTCCTCTCCCTTCCCTTACCTATCGTCATTCAGCCGTTCACCCTCCTGTCATCTCTCCTCTCCCCACCACCCTGCCATCCCGCCCACCACCTTGCCAACCCGCCGCCCACCACCCTGCCATCCCACCGCCCACCTCTTCACAGTATATACCTCTTGTTATCATGTAGGTTGTGAGTAACTGCTTGAGTGTTGATATTGTGTTTCTGTTTAGCATGTGTACTGTATGACTTAACCCCTTGAGTACAATGATTTAATCCTTAACCTCTTGAGTACTATGGATTAATATCTCGATTACGATAGTTTAATCCTTTGAGTATAATTAACCATCGTACTCAAGGGATTATTAACCTTTAGCATATCTAGTAAAAAAAAAGTAAAGTAAATGAACATATTGAGTTAACCTTTTAGGCAACTCTCCCACGCTTGATAAATGTCTCCCAAGTGCATGATGATTTAAGTTCCAAATAGTGACACCATTAGTACGATGCTTCCCTTCCCCCGCGAGTGATGCCGTTAGTACGATATACTTTCCCTCCAGTACGAGACGTTTTCCCTCCAGTACGAGACGTTTTCCCTCCAGTACGAGACGTTTTCCCTCCAGTACGAGACGTTTTCCCTCCAGTACGATACGTTTTCCCCCGATTACAATAAATCATCATTTTGAATACTCATTTGTTGAATCTTTTAAGAGTATATGAATCTAATACAATTTTAACATAGGTGACCATAATGCCACCATGATAACATTAACCTACCATGCTGTACATTAACCCACCATGCTGACACTAACCCACCATGCTGATACTAACCCACCATGCTGATACTAACCCACCATGCTGACACTAACCCACCATGCTGATACTAACCCACCATGCTGATACTAACCCACCATGCTGATACTAACCCACCATGCTAACAGTGTTCTCTTCTCTCCGACAGACAATATGCTGACGCGGTTTGTGAGCGTGGTAGCGGTAGTGGCTGTGGTGGCCCTGTTGGGAGTCAGCAGGGTGTCAGCCAAGGCGCTACCTGACCAAGACCCCCAGGTATATGGCCAGATGCCCCACATGTTGGACGTGAGTAGAATGGCCCACTTTTATTAGTTTACACACAGTTGTTATCTTTTGTCCTTTAGTAATGCCCCGACATTTTAGAAATAAGCACAAAATACCATACTTTTTAAAAATTACACATACTTACTACTTTTTGGAAATAAGTACATAATTACCTATTTTTTTTTAGTTTACAGATACTTAATTATGTTTATTTAAGTGTTTAAGTGTAAATGTTTGCTACTCTTTCTCCTATGTAAGTCTTTGTTGGAAGTAAGTATAAAATTACCGACTTTATTTTGTGTTTATAAGTTTACCTTTATGTATTTGAATATATAAGTGGGTATGGGAAATGTGGGTCCTAAACTATATACCTGAAGAAATTAGCCACAGGTGATGATCGTGAATTTTGGGTCGAATTATAGGAACTTTGTTTATGGCGACTCTTGACTGAGATGTATGGAGTTTAGTTGTTATTATTATTATTATTATTATTATTATTATTATTATTATTATTATTATTACTATTATTATTATTTTTTATTATTTTATTGCTATTATTATTTTTATTATTTTATTATTTTATTACTTTATTATTATTATTATTATTATTATTATTATTATTATTATTATTATTATTATTATTATTATTATTATTATTATTATTATTATTATCTGTTCCAGCTGTGAAGTAAAACAGACGATGTAGTTAAATGTGGCAGCGTTTGACCGTAGAGTTTATGCACACACTGATTATATTATTATTATTATTATTATTATTTGTTCCAGCTGTGAAGTAAAACAGACGATGTAGTTAAATGTGGCAGCGTTTGACCGTAGAGTTTATGCATGTACTGTGCACGTGTACAGTACAGTATATATTATAATACTGTGTGTGTAAACTGGTGTCCTTTATCATAAATTAATCTGTTAAACAGCCTCCACCTACTAACATAACGACACACTGTTACCATCTCAAAGTGCCTTCATATCATAAACATTAATAACGCAATATTTTATCAAGATGGCGACGCACATAAAAAAAATAATCTGGTACGTATATCAAGAGGCGCCCGCTGTTTATTTTTCATTTTGTTCATTTTTTTCGGTGATGTTATGGGAGTGGTAAGTGCTGTCGTTTTCTCTGCTCTTTGGGTGTTATCAGTTACCTCCGAGGCGGACTAGTTTGTACAGCAGGAGGACATGGGGTGTTGGGCGCCGCTATCAGGTTGACGTCAGATAACAAATGTCGGCACCTGCTGCGTCTCTTCTCTCAGCTATCTCACCTCACCACACGCATCTTACTTCCTCCACTCTTTTTATTTCTCCCCCCTTTTATTGTACGATATTCGACACTTTATCCCACTTCTTAATATTATTTTTTACGAAAGTTTGTTAAGAAAACGAAGCTCGGTTATTTTTCCTTCTTCACATCTACTTATACAGTTTTTTTTCCTTCATGCAAACATCAAGAAACATCGTCAATTTTTAAGGTATTTTGAAAATTCAGCGACTGTGATAAGGTGTTGGCCGGGCAGGTTCACTCTCTGACATTTTACAGTGAATGTTGGAGGTTGTTTCTTGCTGTTGCCGCGAGTGTACAGGAGCTAGACCCCTCAGTGGCCAGGCTTGTGGCTCCCTCCCTACACTCACCATAGAGGCGCGGGTGTACAGTGCCGGACAAAAAATCCCTGGAGACATTTTTCTTTCAATATCTGGCATCATGTACTCTGAGGATCATGTAGATGGGGTCATATCTCTCTCCCTACCTCTCTGTCTCTCCAAACCTCCTTCTCCGTCTCTCCTTCTCTTCCTTCAACTACCCCTTTTCTCCGTCCCCTTCCCTCTCTCCATCCATCCCTCTTACGCTTCTCTCCCTCCCTTCAACTCCCACTCTCTCTCTCTCCCTCCCTCACTCCCTCCCAACTCAATATGGCTGCAGTAGACATACACTATAAAGGCTTTTCGTCTAATATTTGAGATAGTCTGCTCACAGACAGACAGACAGACACACACACACACACACACACAGAAGGAAAGAGAACGCCGTAATTGAATAAAAAGGAGAGGAACGTTTGCCGTGTTCACATAGGTTTAAGTGAACGGTCCGGACTCACACACAGGACAGGTAAACACGGAGCTCTGGCCAGGTAGACACTTAATGAGAATCTGAATTGACAAATGAACACAAAGACCAGCGAGTTATATAAGGTTAATTAAAGTGCTTAAGTGAGGAGGCAAGGTGAGTAAGGGAGATAATAAATACTTATCCTCAGGTGCATTATGTGAGGATAATTAATTAACACAGGTTGAAGGTAGTTGAGCTGCAATAGATGAGATTAAGTCAAGACTATAAACTGTCTTGTTCAGGTTAAATAAAGTTATACCGCTTACCTGTAATGTATGTGTCTTAATGTCCTCCTTACCTGTCCTCGCACCTGCACCTGTCCTCACCTGTACCTACCCTCACCTGTACCTGCCCTCACCTGTACCTTCCCTCACCTGTACCTGCCCTCACCTGTACCTGCCCTCACCTGTACCTGCCCTCACCTGTACCTGTATTACTGTTTCCAAATTAATGAACGACACTTGTTTTTGTACCTGCCCTGCACACACACACTCTGGGCTCATAATGCTCTTCCATACATCAGTCAAGCGAAATACAGCCATGATCTCCTTCCTGTATCCATCACACACACACACACACACACACACACACACACACACACACACACACACACACATCGAGAAAAGGATGAAAGGAAGGGAGAGAAAGCGAGAAAGGGGTGAGAGGAAGGAGGGAGAGTGTGAGAAATGGAATGAAAGAAAGGTAGGGAAGATAGGAGAGAACCAGGGAGAGTGGGAAAGTGTTTAGAGGAAGGAAGAGAGTAAAAAAGGAGCGATAAATAAGGAGGGAGAATGAGAGGAAGGAAGGAAGAGACACAGAGAAAGGAAGGAAGAGGAGGACCCTTGCTGTGGTCCCTCAAGTAACTCAGAAAGATTAAGTGTATGATGACGTGTGTATGGGTGATGACGTGTGTATGGGTGATGACGTGTGTATGGGTGATGACGTGTATGATGATGTGTGTATGGGTGATGACGTGTGTATGGGTGATGACGTGTGTATGGGTGATGACGTGTATGATGATGTGTGTATGGGTGATGACGTGTATGATGACGTGTGTATGGGTGATGACGTGTATGATGACGTGTGTATGGGTGATGACGTGTATGATGACGTGTGTATGGGTGATGACGTGTATGATGATGTGTGTATGATGAGTATTGGTGGAGTGACTTATATTTTATATAAGTCACTCCACCAATACTCATCATTCACGTCATCATTCACGTCATCATTCACGTCATCATTCACGTCATCATTCACGTCATCATTCACGTCATCATTCACGTCATCATTCACGTCATCATTCACGTCATCATTTCCTCACAATAATGAAAAAGCTTAAGACAAGTGTCACCTTGTGGTCTTGTGAGTCCATTGTCGACCGTGTGGTCTCAAGACTTCGAAACCTCCACAGTTATATGCAGATTTAAACAAGTGATAACCGGGGGGGGGGGTGTTGGCACTTCTTTTTGGCACTGGTGGTGGTGGTGGTGGAATAGGTAATGTCACTATTGTTGGTAGTAGCGTGTAACATATTGGTGTTGGCACTTATATTTGGCACTGATGTAAACAATAAGTGTTGGCACAGGTTGTTGGTGTGGCATATGACCTTTACCCTGGCACCTTCCTCTAACACACTACCTTATGAATAATAAAACTCGGCGTTATTACAAAGTAAGATCTGAAACGACGCTACTGCATTATTCACATCCTTTATCACCTTCTTCCTTATTCTCTCTTATTTATGTTTATCTTCATTACCTTCTTCCTTATTCTCTCCTATTTATATTTACCCTTATCACCTTTCTTTAGTTTCTCCCCATGTCTCCGTCCGTCCTTCCTTGTGGTATATTTATGCTCTCCTTTAACATCTTATTGCAATATTCTACGTAAAATCTCTTATTGTAATATTGAGCGAAATATCGTAAGAACCTCAGACTATAGGCGACGAAATATTCCAATATATTACGTTACAAAAAATCCAATCGTAATGGTTCATAAACATCGAAGGTAAATACAGGTTTTGATGATGAATAAGGGTATTAGAGCCTTTCACCAGACACCAACGTGAGGTAATAGTTGCTGGCCCAAGACTCAATCAACCATCACGAATTTACTCATAAAAATTTTACCGACAATGGACATAAAGACATTTGTACAGATCTATACTACGGTTATTATGAAAATTGGCCGTAAATAATAATACTGGCGAACCCTAATTCAGTGTAAAATAATGTATGATGATGGTTGGTAGTGAATAATATACCCGTGTACCCTAATTCAGTGTCGTATGTAGTATTTTGAAGGTATTAGTTTTTGTATATAGGTTGTATAATGTTTATAAAACTTAGATTTAATAACACTGTATTCTGTAGATTGTCTTTCTGGTCGACATGTTATGTAAATATTTGTTCTGTCATTTCCACTTGATGACGTTATAGTGTTCGCTCGTGTGGAAGAACAGCTCGCTAGACCCTGACATAATGTTTATTTTTTTCTTCTGAATCGTGTATGTTATGTTTCGTTGTGCATCATAAGAACATAAGAATAAAGGAAACTAGAATAGGTCAGTTGGTTCACACGTGGTAGCTCAAATATCTGTCAAACCTATATATTTGAATCTTCCCCGCGTGTTCGAGTTTAATGATGGTGTTTGGTAACTTATTCCACTCATCCACTACTATTTCCTAACCGATTTTGACCGAATTCCTTCCTAAATCTATAGTTCTGAAAAGTAAAATCATTTCTGAGTGATAGTTCCTGCAAGTCATTCAGTGGGTTGACATCGCACTCAAAGGGTTACGATATATTACTCAAAGGGTTAATTTACGTACTCAAGAGATTGGTATCCACTCAAAATACCCCTCCCCCCCAAAAAAAAAAAATTACCAGTTTG